CGTCTTCAAACACTTCTTCATTCTCTTCGACAAGTTCTTCATCCCAAATGGGATTATAGTCCTCGTCATCGTATTCATCCCAAATGATCTTTGGGGTAGTGGGCTGCATGGTTTCGGTAGCTTGAGAAGAAGGTATTTCGGACTTAAAAAAATGGGGAGCAAAGGTGGGGGTTTGAACTATGAAGAAAGATGACTCTTCAAGGGTACTTTTGGGGGTTTGTGGTAGGCTTAAAGACATGACTTTGGGAATGGATTGGGGTGGGGATGTTGGACCCAAGTTGGGGGTGTGATGGGCAGTGGTTAGGAGGGGTAAATGCATGGTTTTAGATGGTTTTTCAAGTGGGGGTGTAGGGGTAGGCGTAGGGATGGTTAGGGCAGTTTGTGGAGGGATGAGGGGCATGGTTTTGGAAGAGTTTGGAGGCAGGGGTATTGAGAGGGGTTTGGGGTTTGTTTGGGCAGGGGTTAGAGACAAAAAGGAGGTGGTTATTGAGGAGTATTGTGGCATGGGTGTTGAGGTAATATTGGGGACAATTTGGGCATGAAATTATTTAATAAAATACTACGTACAAGACGTATATAAAAGTAATTTTTTAAAAATTACATAGGCTTTAATAAAGTTTCATCCACTCAACTAAGGTTATCATACAAACTTACACAAAGAGAATTGGAAAATTCACTTAAGTAAATAATGAGTTGCCTACGTGAGATTCGAATCCACATCTGTATGCAAGTACATACTGCTCTACTGTTTGAGCTAATAGGCAAAACAATTCAAAAAATAATTCATACATAAAAGCATTCATACTTTTAATTGTGGTCAGCCAATGCCTCTTAAATCATCAAAATGTATTTTCTAGTAGGGAGCATACATTGATGCCAACTTGTCAATTCAAAGAACACATTAACACATTAAATTTGTAGGATCCACCAAAACCTCATGGCAACTTGTGACGACAAAATTGCATAAAAATAACGCACATAGAGCACCCTAAGTACTCAAATGCAAACTAAAATGCATCAAAAAATGATCAGAATGCAATACCTTGAATACATCAACTAATGCATCCATTTCAATTCTGAGCGGTAAGAGAGCGCATTATCCTTTACCTTAATTTTGAGAATGCATTGCCTTCTCATGTAAATGCATTACCTTGAGTACGATAATGCACAATAACAAAAAAATAAACAAAAAGTAAAATAGAACAAAGAAGATAACTTTTTATTTCATTTTACAATTCCTATCGACCATATAAGACATTTATGTCTGCCAATTATGGGTGACATTGCTCGTTGCACTTCAAAATCATCAAATTGGCCTCTTTCATGGCATTCTTTTTTTTGAATGAGTCAAATTCCAAAATAGATAAAGCAATTGATTGAATGCACTCAAACGTCAAACAAAAATAAATTCAAATATGATAAATGCGTGAAAGCATTTGGGAAATCCAGTTTAGAATTTTAGATAGAGCGAACATACAAGATTAAGAAATTTAATAAATTCAAACACGAACAAATACCTGAATGGCTGAATCGATGAGAGAATCCCTCTGAATTGTTGTGAAAAACATAACAATGGATGGAGAATTTTCTTTTCTGTAGAATAGCAAAGCCAAAAACAAGCTTATCAAGGCCTAAAAGTAGAGAGAAGATGAATGATGCAAGTGAATGGAACTAAACTAATGCAATGAAATGCAAGAAGTAAATGAAAAGCAAGCCTAAATTAGGAATTTCATGCTAACAATGCTATTGTCAAAGGAATAGAGGAAAATGGGAAATCGACTAGAATGCGAGAAAATCACCTTGATTCTCAATTTTGTGAGAATCAAGAAAGAATTCCCTAGATAAGAACCCACTTCCGTGGCGCTCGTCTCAAGAGAACTACAAACACATCAAACAAGCTCCTCAAGTATCCTCCACTTCCGTGGTAGGACTTGAGAGTAGAGACACGCGGCTAGGGCTCTAAATCCCGATTCCTCGGTGATTTAGAATCCACTCCGAAATACAAGAATGCCATCGTGGCCAACAACAACATCCTAGCAATAGTAAGATCAATCTCCACAAACAACCTAGAGCAATATCTCATATTTCACACTAATCCATCAACAACAAGCACAAATCAACAATTCATCCCTAACCTAGGCTAGAAAATCTAGCCTAGCATGATTAAACTAAGAGATGCATAAAGATAAGAGAGTAAGAAATAAGATAAAGACATAAACGAGATGAAGAAATAAAGATCAATACTAAGAGACAACTAAATAATATTAAAGAGATAATATATAAGGTTGGAGCTCCCAAACTAAAATGGAATGATGAAAAAGATGAAGAAAACCCGAGTCTAATGCAAATGGGGGAGCTCCCTTAACAATGGTACCTAGGGGAGTATATATAGAGTAGATGGGGTTGGGAATAAAATGACAAATAAGGGTACGATTAAAAAAGTAAAGAAATGAACCAGGGGTAATTTTGACATTTCAGGCCCAAAATTAGAACTGGAATTTGGTTCTGTTCGTTGTCTTCTTCGTGTCTCTCTTCGCCGGGTCAGTGCAATCGACTTGCCGTCTTCAACGTTGCTCGTCGCTTGCATCGCCGGAAATTGGGAGCTGTCTCGCCAATCGGACCTGTGAACACCGGAATTATTCACCTGGCCCTCGCCCATCACTGTGCTCTGATCGCTGCCAGCCTTGTCTGCTCGCTGTTGGACTCTCGCCGGAAGGGATGGGGTCATCGCCGGGCATACTCCAATCGAAGGACGACGCTAGACCGGGTCGGGTCAGAGATTGGATCGCGCGTCTCTAGTCGACACATCATTACCTGCGGAAATTTGACTTGCAAGAGACATAATGAAAATTAAGTTTTTTAAATTGTAGATTGACCCCATAAGTTTGGTCTTGCTTACAATTTTGCCCTTCCACTTGTAATGGGCCTTATAATCAATTCATTATCACAAATCAGCTCCAACTCACATATTTGATAAATAATACACAATTAAGCTCTTAACAATATTAAATTCAAGTCAATAAGTTAAGGAAATGAAAAACAAGATTTGTGGACTGTGCGGCTGATTTTCCGCAGTCTCTCCACATATATGGGAGAGAGATACGGTACTATGATAAAAACCCCCTAATAGAGGTCTTCGAATGCAAACAGATCTAACGGTAGAGAGTCATTCTTATTTCTTTCATAAGATCATATTCTCACCTGAACACACACACATATTGCTAATGCACTGTCCCTTGTAATTTGAAATCCAAACATTTAAAATTTAGAATAGAATGAAACCAAAGTTCTCAAACACTACCCCAAGGCATTCTATCATGTGATATCCAAATTAAATACCCCAAACAGATTGACACTGGTGCACAGCACTTGTAAAATGATTGTTCTACTAAGGTGCAAAAAAAAAAACAAAGTGCCCCATTACAGTATAAGTACCTCCAGACTGATTGGATACATCAAAGACATACATGCTATGATCTCAAGTCTAAATGCCACACTAGAAATACGATATAAATAATAGGGAGTATAATTTATAATCTAAGATAAGAAGGAGATGACTGCACTTGGTGAGGCTCTGGGATAAGAGAGCAAGGTCTGACCTATCTTGATAAAATCACTCACGTTTTCAACGCGAACCCCAATCACCATCTCTTCCAAGGCGGGTGCCCTCTTAAGAAGGTTTCGGGCCAGTGTTAGCAATGGCTCGCCCCCTAGTTTTGGATCTGCCATGCTATACAATTTAACCATCTTCAATTGCAACAAGTCACAGCCCATATCTCTCCTTCCAGGTAGGACCCAGTCCTCTTCGGCAATCTACAAACACGACGAATTTAAACCAACACCATCAGAAAACCAAATCTTGGGTTAGCATACCCAATTTCCAATGCTTTCTATATCTATCTCTCATTTTCTTTTTCATGTATTGTGGAACTGGTTGAATTCTTATCACGTATTAGTATGTTATTACATACTCCGTATTCCGTATCACAGAGTATGTAACATTCTAGTCGGACATTTAGTTGGCTAAAATGGAAATAACTATAGCAGATTAAATTATACTTATACCATTATATGAAGTAGTATATAGTGCTTGATTTTTTAAGATGATACTGAGCAATAATTTTTAGGTATTAAATGTTCATATTTATTCTTAGATTAAAATTAGGTTGTCATGTAAATAAATCAATATATTTTAAATAACAAAAATTATACCCAGTATCAAATAAAAAAATTCCCCAATACTACTGTACTCCCAAATCATTGGACCAAAAACAAATTTTAATTTCTAGTCCCCTTTCCTTCCCCTCATCTTTATACCAAACAAGGTTTGAGCAGATCACCTAGAAAAGGTGACTAAAAAAGATATGAATACTCAATACTTACTTCTTCGGGGTCATAACGTTCTATGACCAATGTCTCAAGGTTGGGAGAAGATTCCAGAAGGCCTAAAATGGCAGAAATGTTTTCTTCATCATGGATAAACCTGTTTATTTTCAAACACCTTCGCATAGATTTCGGAAGCTGCCAATGACCCAGCAACAACACTGCTGCAAGAGCCTAGTGTAGATGTTGCAAAACAAAAAAAACATATGGACTATACAGGGTAAGAAATCAGTGAAAATATTGGATAAAACAATAGAAGTTCTGTACATTCATCTGTTTCTCACATTCCGAATCACTGATCTACCAGGCCATCATTAAAAGAACCACATCATAATTTCATTTGAATATACAAATGCTCAGCATGCAGCAGCAATAGTTAAAGGCCTTTTGGTGTTTGCAGACACAAAAAAAAACATTACACTTATTAATGGAATAAATGCTGCCAACTCAGGATTAGCGATAGCCAATAGCAGGGATATAACTAGGTAAATTAGACGTAAAAAATTCTAGAAAATATGGCTCGCAAAATTGCATCAGTATTGCTCGCAACCATTCTGTTTGTTAGTTTTAAATCTTTCTTAGAAAAATAACAATTGTGTACCCATGGCACTCTTGATGCTAATAATATCTTTGATAATATAAATTGTATTCGGCCATTGAAAATATACCAGAAAGCATAAATTTATACAAACTAACAAAAGGCAGCCTATCTTCATACTCCCTTTATCCCAAAAGTATTATTCCGTTTTCATTTTGGTCATTTTCATTGCCTCAATTCCTAAAACAATTAAAAATATATGGACCAAAATAAAGGCATGTCTCACTAACTAATACTATAGCCAAAAAATAGAGTGAATAGCACTCAAAAAAATATAACCAAAATAGTCTTTTCCCTAAACTTTTAGAAACAACCTCTTTCATTTGTGCAGAGAAGAAGTTTGACACATTACCAATTTGACATGAGACAAGTTACAGAGGTCGGAGAGATACCAAATCTGCAGTTTCTTGGACAAATGAACATGTCCATTTTGAAAACAATGAAAAACAACAATTGAATTGGAGGAGAGGAAAATCCATGTTTGCCATATTTGGAGAAGTGTGCCTAAAATATCAGTTCACACTTCACCACAAAAGAATGCTAAAAGAGATTAAAAGATTGTTAAATACCTTAATGATATCACATCCCAGTTCAAGCTCCGTCACATGTTGAGTGCTTTCAAAAATTTCCTTTATATTACTCAGCACGTCTTGAGAGCCTAAATTCCAATCGTCATTCAAGGAAAAACTAGCACTCACAAGAGATGAGATGTTAGACATCTTCAAGTTTGAGTCTAAAGTATAGAACGACATATCCAAAGATTTAAGATGTGGCGCTGAGATTTTAAGGGACTCATCATCAGTTTTTTCTTTAAAGAATTCCTGAACAGAGAGTTCACCAAGGTTTTGAGAATGGATCTCGAAACAAGTGAATCCCCAACATTCACTCAAATACAAGCTCTTCAAAACAGGACACCCGGATAATATATTGTCAACCACAAGCTGAGGTAGATAAACATCAGAAATATCTAAGGAAGTCAATGATGGCCACTTGGTTGCTCTTTCAGGTTCAAAAATGCAGCCGAGCAACGATAGTGATGTCAAGGACGAATATGTGTAGATCATTTCATGAAGAGGGTAGGATTGTTTCGAAAACATTAGGGCCAAAGAGACATGTTTCACCTTAAGTTTCAAGGCAGCCCCAAGCCAGCTATCAACATCGGAAGCAAAGCATTTGTTATACCTGAATTGAACGTCCAACTTCTCCAGAGACTTCCCATGGCGAGTAGCAAGGGTCTTATGAACCCTAGCCACAAATTCACGTCTTGCCTGAGTAATCTTATCGCGGCTCTCCCACTCCTCCCAGAGAGAGAATTCAAGGGTGGGCAATTCGGTCCAAAGGAATTTCCATCTTTTCCCGAGAAGACTCGTAATTGCAGCTTTCTTCAAACCCAGAAAAGAGAGGATGTGAATGAGCAAGCAATCCGGCAAGGCACTGAGCCTATCCATTTCCATCTCCTTCATCCTTTTGTTCGATATATCATTTTCCGTCGAATTGATTTCTACATTATCAGCTCCAGATTCTCCTCCTTCCCTAACTTCATTTTCTCCAGCCTGCTTTTGTGTTTCATTGGCTAGACATTCGTCCATCGTGAAACAGAGCAACAAAACACCGCACACTAATTGACAGTTAAGAGGATCAATTAACAACTGACCGTACCGCCGCCGGCAACCCCCTTTCTCTCCACTTCCTTTCTCTTTCCCAAATTCAGATCTATCGCTTTATGATAAGGCACAAGTGTCCGACTGTTCCAACATGATTGGGAAAAAAGTTGAAAAACAATGATTCTTTGGTTCAAAAATGGTAGGGTTAGACTAAAAATTACACTCCACAAGTTGATTTTGACTTTGGAATTAAAATTTGACACAAAATATTAATACAATATAAAAAATTTAGGTTGATATTTTGTATCATTGTAAAGCATCATACTAGCACAAAATTTGGTATATGTCTTCGCGATACAAAGTGGGATACAATCTTTGAAGTACAAATATCATTTCCCTACAAAAATGAGCACAATTTGGTTGCCGCCTCATGCTATTGGGATTTTGGAGACTTTGTTCTCATCATCTTATTTAATTGATTCTAATTTGAATTTATTAAATTCTAATATGATATAGTTTGGTTTGTTCTTAACTTGTATGATTTGATCTGAATAGATCTAATCCGATCTGAATGTATTGTAACTTAAAGCTATGGTTGGCCCCATCTGAATTTATCTGGTTTGAATTTATCTGCTGATTTGAATTTATTTGTTGCGATTTAATATCGTTTGACTTTAAACTATTCTCCACCCTTGTCAATTGAATCTAAATTTAAAAAAATTATAACATAATATTTATGTCAAAAATACTTTTGATATACTCGGATTTTAACACTCTTCTTTGTTTTATTACTATTATTATTAATTATTATTATTATTATTTTGCTAATGCACTCTCCCTTATAATTTGAAATCCAAGAATTTAGATTTTACAAATCAAATAAAATCAAAAGTTCTCAAACACTAGCCGAAGGCATTATTCTATTAAGTCATATCTAAATTAAATGCCCCATACAGACTTACACTGGTGCACTTGGAAAATGATTGTTCTACTAAGGTGCACAAAAATAAGTGCTCAAATACAGTATAAGCACATCCAGACTCATTGGATATACATTAAAGACTTGTTCTTGGAAATATGATAACAGTCGGGGGAGGGAGCAACAGAGAAGCAAGAAATAAATAATCTAAGGTAAGAAGGAGATGACTGCTTTTGGTGAGGCTCCGGGATAAGTGAGAAGGGCCTGACCTATCTTGGCAAAATCACTCACGTTTTCAACGCGAACCCAAATCACCATCTCTTCCAAGGCGGGTGCCCTCTCAAGAAGGATTCGTGCCAGCATCAACAATGGCTCGCCCCCTAGTTTTGGATCTGCCATGCTATACATTTTAACCGTCTTCAAATGCAACAAGTCACAGCCCATATCACACCTTCCCGGTAGGACCCAATTCTCTTCAGCAATCTGCAAACACGACGAATTTAAACCAACACCATCAAACAACTAAATCTTGGGTTAGTAGATCCTATTCCCAATGCTCTTTCGCTATCTATACATCTATCTCATTTGGTTTTTCATGTATTGATCAATGTTCCAAAAACTGGAAGAGATGTCGAAACAAAGAAATAACCTTGTCAAAAGTTAAATCGATCAAACCGATTGAACTGAGTCAACAACCCGGTCAATGAATTACTAATGACCGAATCATAATTTTATCACCTACTAGCGTGTCATGATATACTCCGTATTACGTATTACAGACATTCTAGTCATACATTTACTTGGGTGAAATGAAAATAGCTACAGAAAATTAAATTATATTTATATGTAGTAAATACTTCTTGATTTTTTTAAGATGATAATAAATTTTAGGTATTAATTGTTCATATTTATTCTTAGATTAAAATTAGAAGGTTATGTATATAAATCAATATAACTTAAATAACAAAATTGTATCAAATAAAACATTCCCAAATACTCCGTACTACTTTACCCCAAATCATTGAACCAGAAACAAATTTTAAAGCAGCCTCCAATTCAAATTTTTCATCCCCTTCCCCAACCCTCAACTTTATACCAAACAAGGGTTAACCAAATCACCTAGAAAAGCTGACTAAAAAAAGATTGAATACTGGATACTTACTTCATGGGGATCATAATGTTCTATGACCAATGTTTCAAGGTTGGGAGAAGATTCCAGAAGGCCTAAAATGCCAGAAACGTTTTCTTTATCATGGATAAAGCTGCTTATGGTCAAACACCTTCGCGTAGATTTTGGAAGCTGCCAATGACCCCTCAACAAAACTGCTACAAGAGCCTAGGGTTCATGTTACAAAAAAAATAGAATATACAGGGTAAGACCTCAGTGAAAATATTGAATAAAACAATACAAGTTCTGTATATTCATCTATTTCTCACATTCCGAATCACTAATCTTTCACTCTATCAGGCCACCTTTCTAGGAACCACGTCATTATTTCATTTGAATATATAAATGCTCAGCACATAGCAGCAAAAGTTAAATCCCTTTTGGTGTTAGCAGACACAAAGAAACATTACACTTATTAATGGAATACTAACTCAGGATTAGCAATAGCCAATAGCAGGGATCTACTTGGTAAATTAGAAGTTAAGAAACTCTAGAAAAAAAGGCTCCTAAAATTGCATCAGTATTGCTATTCAGTTTGTTAGTTTTAACTCTTTCTTAGAAAAATAACACTAGTGTGTACCCATGACATTTGGCCATCGAAAAATTACAAGCAAGCAGGACTTTCATGTCGTGCTATTCTTAAAAGCCACTGTGAAAGGATATGTTTGATGCAGCCATATACAAAAGGAAGCTTATCTTCATACTCTCTTTGTCCTAAAGATATTATTCCATTTTCATTTCCTAATATATAAGGACGAAAATAAAGGCACGTCTCCTTAACTAATACTGTAATACTGTAACCAAAATAGAGTTTTTTCCCTAACTATTTAAAAACAAACTCTTTCAAGTCTTTCATTTTTACAGAGAAGAGTTTGACACATTGTGTACATCTACCCCTCCCCCTCCCCACACATGGTCTGCTGGGAGAATATACTAGGGAGGTGAGGTTGTTGACTTGTTTGTATGCCAAATTGACATGAGACAAGATAGTTAGGTGGGAGGGACTAATAATCTGCTAAAGGATACCAGATCTGCAGTTTCGTGTGCAATTGGTCATCTCCCATTTGAAAACAATGAACAAACAACAATTGAAGTGGAGAATTGGAAAACCCCTGTTTGCCAAATTTTGAGAATGGTGCCCAAAAGATCAATTCAAAACAAAAGAATGCTAAAAGACATTAGAGGATTGTTAAATGCCTTAATGATTTCACATCCCACTTCAAGCTTCTTGACATGTTGACTGCTTTCAAAAATTTCCCTTGTATTACTCAACACGTCCTCAGAGCCTGAATTCCAAACATCGTAGAAGTGAAAACTAGCACTAACAAGAGATGAGATGTTAGACAACTTCAACTTTGTGTCTAAAGTATCTAACGACGACACATACAAAGATTTAAGATGCGGTGCTGAGATTTTAAAGAAATCATCATCAGAACTTTCTTGGAATGAGTCATGAACAGATAGTTCACCAAGGTTTTGAGAATGGATCTCGAAACAAGTGAATCCCCAACATTCACTCAAATGCAATCTGGTCAAAACAGGACAACCAGATAATATGTTGTCGAGTATGGGCTGAGGTAAATATACATTGGAAATATCTAAATATGTCAATGACTGCCACTTGATTTCTCTTTCAGGTTCAAAAATGCAGCCATGCAATGATAACGATGTCAAGGACGAATATGTATACATCTTCTCTGGAAGAGTATAGACATGTTCGGAGAACAGCGAGGAGCTTAGGGATAAAACGACATGTTTCACTTTAAGTTTCAAGGAAACCCCAAGCCAGCTATCAACATCGGAAGCAAAGCATTCGTTGTAGTGGAAACTAATGTCCATCTTCTCCAGAGACTTCCCACTGCGAGTAGCAAGGGTCTTATGAACCCGAGCCACAAATTCACGTCTTGCCTGGGTAATCTTATCGCGGCTCTCCCACTTCTCCCAGAGAGAGAATTCAAGGGTGGGCAATTCGGTCCAAAGGAATTTCCATCTTTTCCCGAGAAGACTCGTAATTGCAGCTTTCTTCAAACCCAGAAACGAGAGGATGTGAATGAGCAAGCAATCCGGCAAGGCACTGAGCCTATCCATTCCCATCTCCTTCATCCGTTTGTTCGATATATCAGTTTCCGCCGAATTGATTTCTACATTATCAGCTCCAGATTCTCCTCCCTCCCTAAATTCACTTTCTCCGGCCTGCTTTTGTGTTTCATTAGCTAGACATTCGTCCATCGTGAAACAGAGCAACAAAATACCACACACTAATTGACAGTTAAGAGGATCAATTAACAACTGACCATACCCCCGCCGCCGGTAACTTTCTCTTCCGCCGCAAATGAGATCTATCTTCAATATTCTTCCCTATTTTCATTTCAGTTGCTCCCCCGAATTATCTTCCTATTTGGGCCAGTCAAATTTTTTTGAATATATAATATGAAAAGAAAATTTATTAAATTATGACACTCGTATAAATTAATTTTTTTGATAAATTAATTTGGAATATGTAAAGTATGAAAAAATGGGTATTGTAATTTCAAGGGAAAAATAAATAAACTACTTGTCCACTTTTGAACAAATGTTATCATTCCTATTTTTTCACACTCCATTGGTACTAAGTTTTCTTACTTTAACATCATAAACAATAGGAAACAATGTGAAAAAAATGTTAACAAAGTGAAATGTTAGTACAAATTAAAAAATATTAGAGACTTTCTCACACACAATAAAAATTTTCACTTCTCTTTTTTCTTTATCTCATGATAATTGTTTTATTCTTAACAAATTACGGAGTACAAAAGATTATGATGTTTAAATTACTTTTTTCTTTTGAAAAGAATTGAATAATTAACCAAATTATTTAATATTTTGCCAAAAGCTGTCTTTTCCACGCTTTCTTAATTTGGATGAAGTCAAAGAGAGCAAAATTCAATTGGGATATGTGGTTATTTTTTACAAAAAGAAATAGTAAAAAGCAAAAAAAAAAAGTATTTTAGATGCTTGAAAAAGAAATGGAGAATTTTCAAAACACATAAAATTAGTATTAAAAAAGGTTATCAAACACCAATGGAATAATCTACTTGTCCTATGAGCAATAGAGTATTGTACACAAGGGCATTTGAGGAAGCAAAATGAAAGAAAATAAAGGATGGAATGTGGATAGTAATATTTGGTGTGCCAAAATCACTACCCTTAATATTAGATGCACATCAAGTCGCATGCAAGACGGAGTGAAATTTAACTACAATTTTATCTATCATTTAATTATTAAATTTTTATTGTCATTAACTAAATATAACTAACAATGCACTATGAAATTGAACTCATATTATATTTCTTACATTTAGTACTTAATGTGTCTTTTCTTTTAAAATTTAGATGCCAATGGAAATTCTATTGGAGATGCCATTGGTGTACCAAACTCACATTCTTCATGTAACTATAGAACATGATCTTTATGATGTACACAAACAAAAATTGTCAATGAATTTTTCTTCCATGTATGGATTGGGGTACAGCAAGGCTAATTTCTGTGAAATAAATTATACGGAGTATGAAAGAGTAACTAAAAAGTATAGAGATATCACCCACACAGAACACAAGCCAGAATGTTAGTAGCGAAAATGAAATTGCCCCAACAAGCCCAATAAACATACACACAACCTTACCCAAAAGACGAATTTCAATATACCCTTGATGCATTGATGTGTTAATTTCCAAAACCCTCATAGAATGCAAGAAAAAATGAAACTTTAATGTTTCCATTGTTTACACATAGCTAGAAACACCAAACAAATTAGTCTTTTACCTTGGTAATAAAAATACTTGGTGATGGCATATCAGCAGTCTCACATTGACAATATCCATTATGCTCTCAAATGTAAATGAAGACATGTCAAGCTAGCAATATGATGCCCATCTGTCTCTAAAAAAGACCGGTTTGGTTTTTACGCAATTTAAGAAGAAAAAAAGCCATAATCTAATGGGGGAGGAAGAAGATGACTGCATCTGGTGAGGATCTGGGGTAAGTGAGCAAGGTTTGGCTTATCTTGGCAAACTCACTTGTTCCTTTGATGTTATGATCCTCAATTGTCATCTCTTTCAAGGCCGGTGCCCTCTTAAGAATGATTTGGGCCAACGTAAGCAATGGCTCACCCTCTAGCTTTGCATCCGCCAAGTCAGACAATTTAACCGTCTTCAAATAAGGCATATCGCAACAAAGATCACCCTTTGCAAGTGGGATCCAAGTCTTTTTTTTCTGCAACAGACACAAACCAATCGTGAACCTTAAGGAAAGTAAATGACATGGAGTTATACAACGTTTGAGAACAATGTTTTCAGTTAGTGTTTTTCTTGAATTTTTTGACGATGCTGATTAACTTTGAAACACAAAAGCGGAACACTGAAGGTGTTGCCAAACATGCGCTTTAAAAAATCTCCCACTTAATCTCTCATTCCATTTTTTTCTACTGTCTTTCAAACCAAAAAGGGCGCGGCAGAGCTAATTATTAGGATATGAATATTGGATAGTGGATACTTACACCATAGCTGTCATCACAATATATGATCAATGTCTCCAGGTATGGAGAAGATTCCAGCAGGGCCACAATGCAAGAAATGCTTTCTGCATTATTGCTAAAGCTACTTATTGTCAAACACCTTCGCGTAGATTTCGGAAGCTGCCAACCATTCGGCAACAACACTGCTAGAGCCTAGTATGCATGCAAGCAATCACAATTCAGTTTGTTAGTTTTATTTTAACTCTTTCTTAGATAAATAACCATTACCTGTTTTACCATTTGTGTCCAAAAGAAGCTTAGAGGATCAATATATACCTTCATGGCATCACGTCCCAGTTCAAGCTCCTTGACTTGTTGAGTGTTTTCAAATATCTCCTTAGTATTACTCACCACGGCCTCCGAGCATGGACCCCCAAAGTCAGAAAAGTGAAAAGTCGCACTGACAAGAGATGATGTCTGAGAGAGCTTCATTTTTTTTTCAGGACGGAACCAAATATTCAAAGACTTCAAAAAGGGTGCTGAGATATGAAGGAAATTGAAACCTCCTGCTTCCTCAGGGTCATGAACCATAAGTTCACAGAGATTTTGAGATTTGATCAGCAAAAACGTGAATCCCCAACATCCAATCAGATACAAGCTTTTCAAAGCAGGACAGCCCGATAATATGTTCTCAACTACAGGCTGGGGTAAATCTACATTATAAATCTCTAACGATGTCAAAGATGGCCAACTGATGGCTCTTTGTGGTTCAATAGTGCAGCCGTCCAAGGACAATGATGTCAAGGAAGAACATGAACACATCTCCTTGTTAAGAGTATATAGATCTCCATTGTAGTCCATGCTCAAAACCACATGTTTCACCTCGAGTTTCACGGCAACCCGAAGCCAGCTATCAACGTCGGAAGCAAAGCATTCGATGTACTTGAATGTAACCTCCAACTTCTCCAGAGACTTCCCGCTGCGAGTAGCAAGGGTCTTATGAACCCTAGCCACGAAGTCACAATTTGCCTTAGTTTTCTCACCACTGAAATCCCAGAACTTGAATTCAAGGGTGGGCAATTCGGTCCAAAGGAATTTCCATCTTTTCCCGAGAAGACTCGTAATTGCAGCTTTCTTCAAACCCAGAAAAGAGAGGATGTGAATGAGCAAGCAATCCGGAAAGGCACTGAGCCTATCAATTGGCATCTCCTTCATCCTTTTGTTCCCCACATCATCCTCCAACGAAATAATTTCTACATTTTCGAATCCAGGCTGCCGTTGTTCTTCGTTTGCTGACCTTTCTTCGTCACACATTGAATGGAACAACAATATACACACAAATCGACAGTTAAGAAGAAAATTAACGATTGACCGTACAACCGCCGGCGGCGCCGGTGAGCTCAACTTGCTCTCCCTTTCCCAAAATCTGATCCTTCGGGTCTTCTTCGACTTTGCGATTGGAATATGTATTCGGACCCGGGCTTAGGGTTTTTGAGGCAGGTCATGTTCACATCATATAATTAGAATAAGTTTTGATTTAATAATCCAATTTATATATAATTATATTTAGGGCCTGTTTGGGAATAGCGTTTGAAATTAATGTTAGCATTTTGGATAAAATTTTAATGGTGCAAATTATTTTGAAAACGCTAACGCTAAATGTTGTCTGTACATATCCTTTTCAAAACGTTAACGCTAATCACTAACGATATTCCCAAACAGACTTTAAAGTTGTTTCTAATTTAATTTGATTTTAATAAGAATAAGTAAAAAAAATTGAAGAGAACACAACTTAGGATTAATTTGAAAGGGCATGGAAAATTGGGAGCGTCAAAACTTTTTCTATGTAAAATCAGTTTTAAGTTTTTTTAATTTACACAATAATTCATTAAATAATAAATACATTAAATAAAAGAAAGTACATTAAATTTAAAAAACACAATGTTAGAGTCTATCCCACATCGTAAAGTTGAATAGAAAAGTTATCAGTATATATGTTCTTGAGTTTAACTAACTAATCGATTGGATTCAATCTTTTAATGTGGTTCAGCCCAAGTGTCTTATTACTTAATCCAGTTATTCTTACTCCATCCCAAATTTCATCATGGTATCAAAGCCAGTTTTAGCCCACCTCGTTTGTTAAGGTGTCCGTCTAGACGTTCATTCCTAGCGGCCCGTTAATCTTTAGCCCAGTTGTCCGTATGGAGGTTGTACCCAACGACATGTGGCCTGTTTAACACGATTGCTCGTCTGGAGGTCCATACCCAGCGGCTCGTGGTCCTTTAGGTGTTGGTGCTCATAAAAAAAAGTCAAGAGAATGAGAGTTCATTTGTAAGTGGTCAACCGGTTATATTCAAAATGGTCCGGTTGTCCACTTGAGGGGGAGTGTTATTATCCCACATCGGAAATCCAAGAGTAAAATAATCGGTATATAAGCTCTAGAGTTGAACTAACTAATCGATTGAATTCAATCTTTTAATGTGGTTCAAACCAAGTGTGTTATTGCTCAATCTAGTTGTCCATACCTTATCCTAAATTCTATCATCCTCAAATGTGGCTTGCAACTCTTCTAGTGTGCACTTAGTTTCGTTTGAGTTTCCAGAACCTAGTCTCGGTCTGTGAAATTCACCAGTGGGGTTTGCATTTGTGGAAATATTGGAAAGTTCTCGAACATTTGGTAAACCCACATTGCGAACTCGTGAGACTCAATACTTTATGGCGGACCAGATGAAGGACTCATGAAAAAATTTTAAAACGGAGAGAAATATATGAAAGATGAGAAATAAGAGGGAGATGTATAAAGGGAAATGCTAGAATATGAGTAAAACATTACAAATATAACAAAATAAGAGTTATATTTTTACTCTCGAAATAAGAGTTAAAATACAATTATAGTGCCAATCATGACTATATATACATTACCAAAAAGTATAGTAAAATATTCATGTACATTATCACATTACTACAGTGAGAACTCATATTTAGGAAATAAAATCATAAAGCTTTTATTTTGGTAGTTACATATGTTTTACTCTAGTCAGGGTGATTTCTTATAGATATAAAAGATGAGAAGAATTATGTATGTTTGTTTTTAAGAAAGAGTGTTAATATATAAAGTAATTTTTTTATTTTAACGACATCACACCCAGTTGGAGTCGGTCCATTTACATTTTTCACTCGCTAAATGTTTGATGAATTGACGTCACACTACTTAGCCCCGGGAGCAGTATTTAGCGTCCTGACGGCGTTAAACGCACAAAAGGGCCGCTGGCATCATCCCCTTTTGGGTGCTCTTAATTTTTAGTACATACTTAAATGATTATTTAACACAATTATAATATTTTTAAAATTAAAGTCACGCAAAAAAATTCCAAAAGAAAACAAAATGGTAACCATGTTAAATATTGGACACTTTAAGTAATACTCTTTATTTAAAATGGAGTTTTAAAGACCGTAAGCTATTACGCAAAGTAGTTACTTCTAGATTTTACAAAAAAATACAATGTTTCCCAATTACATTAATTTGTTATAATTCTAAAAATTGGGTATTTCAAGTATTGATATTATATTTTTAACGATTACGTAACAGATTTAATAAAAATTCAATAAAATATATTACAAAATTTTTTAAGATAAAGGCTCAGTGCTTATGTGGCTTGAAGGGAGATCCGGTCCAACAGACTAGGACCCAATGATGTCCAAGAGAGACGAAGCTCAAGTTAGCACGTTAATGGATTGATTGAACTAGCTACTGACTCAAGGGTCATGTTACACCTAGCGAAAGGATCTCTCGAAACACAAAGAAGATAGAGAGCGAGAGGTCTAGAGGGGTTGATATTTCAGGCCCATATTGCTAAACCATGTGAGACCCTGTAATGGTTGAGGGCGACGTTCGAACAACATGCACGGTGGTAGAATTTAAAACCAAGATTTGTTTTCAAGGCAATTCATAAATATGGATTTTTTTTCTTATTTCACGAGTGTTACTGTATTTGTGATTGTAAGTCAATGATGTGAGCCTTTGTTTCTCTCACATTATCAGCTGTTAGAAGATTTGTCACTTATATGCGTGTTCGAGCATCTGATTCTGAGTCTAATTGGATTGAGAGAAATCATGACCCCCTGGCATTAATTTGTGAGCCCTTTTTCTCTTATTTGAATTAATATTATTACACATGATTTTCAAAAAATTTATAACCTTTTAGTCATTTTTTTCTTTTATCAATAATGTCAACATTCAACCAATTACAAAAAAGTGACGAACAAATGGGCAACAAGCTGCATAAATTTTGTAAAATTAGACTCATTTTAAAATAAAGTTTTATTATATTAAATTTTTATAATATTTAATTATATATGGTTAAAATATTGTAAAATTTGATCAAAAAATGAAATTGTGTTAATATTTTTGAGACGAAGACAAGTATTTTGATTTGAAAAAAGAAACAAGTGTGTCCAATCTCATTATTCCAACAAAAATGCAAGGGCAATTTAACCAAGACAATGCTAAATGGGAATTTAAAGAATGAAAAAAAGAGGCTAATAATGTCCACTAATAAATGGCCATAAAGTTAAGCGAGTGACACCAAAAAAGAATTATTTTTACGAATGATGAATATACCTATATATCCTCCTTTCAACTTTGACCCGCGATTCACTCCACTTGCCACTCGCCATCTCTCTCTCTCTCTCTCTCTCTCTCTCTCTCTCTCTCTGTATCTCTCTCCCACAGAGTCTCAATCTATAATTGGATCTCTGTCCAGTCTTCCTCCTTGGCGCGCACACATTGCTTTTGTTTTGTCTACATATAAACACTGTCTGGCTCGGCCGTTTGAGCGCTCAAACACGCTTCGATCAACTTCGTTCTTCTCCTCCATGCCTAAATCCATCTAATCTCTCTCTCTCTCTCTCTCTCTCTCTCTCTCTGCCTGCCTGTCTTTTTTGTTTTGTTTTTCTTATAAAAAAAGAATGCTGATGTGATCTGGGTTTCACGTATTCGTGTCAAAGTTGACATCTTTTTTGTTGCACTATTATTAAAATGGGAGAAAATAAATAAAACCATAGCCATAGTCAAGAGACGTGCCCATGCTCCTCTATATATCCATAAGCGTATAGTTTTGAAATTGGGAGTTGAGGCATGAGTTGTGTTCTTTGGGTTGGGTGAAATTTCCAATCTTTTCCTCCCAAATTGAGAAGCAGAAGAAGAAATTTGTGAGGGGTAATCTCATGGAGGAGACCTTTGTGCCTTTCCGTGGAATCAAGAATGACCTCCGTGGGAGGCTGCTGTGTTACAAGCAAGATTGGACTGGTGGGTTCAGTGCTGGCTTCAGGTATATTCCGATATATGCACTCTTTAATTAATCTATTGCACCCCAAAAAAAAAGATCATTTCTTTGTCTTGGAATATTCATATTGTGTCTGGGAATATCAATTATCAGGATCTTGGCTCCCACTACATACATATTCTTTGCATCAGCAATTCCAGTCATTTCTTTTGGTGAACAGCTAGAGAGGAATACTGGTAATCTATACCACTTTCAATTTTAATATCATAGAACAATTTTAGGGGCTCACTTATCACTTGAGAAGAATTTGTAATAAAAAAGGAAGTGCGACTTTTAAATTCTTGTAAGATAGAATGGTCATAAAACGCCCTCATAAATCCAACTTATTTTTTGTTGTTGGTTTGACTAAAGTTTTCTTTGTAAAACTTGTATGGAGTAACTAGTAACTCTCTCTCTTTTTTTCTGGAGAAAAATGTTTGAGAAAAAGACCATGTGGGATGGGGGGAGTAGCATGTATTGGAATCTCTCTCTACTGCAGTGGCTAAATTTAATGTTTAAAAACATTCCGAGTCATGACTTGCTAACACTCATATGATGACTTTTCATGTCATCCATAAAAAATTCAACCGACCTCAGATGACTGTGGGTAGAGAATATTTGACCATTAGGAATATGGGTAGTGTGTCTATTCATTAATAACTAGAATGTACTGGAAATCTTGTAGATGGAGTTCTTACAGCTGTTCAGACGTTGGCTTCAACTGCGATTTGTGGCATTATCCACTCCATCATCGGAGGACAGCCTCTGTTAATATTAGGAGTGGCGGAGCCCACTGTTATCATGTATACATTCATGTTTAACTTTGCCAAACAAAGACCAGATTTGGGCCGTGATCTGTTCCTTGCATGGTCTGGATGGTTAGTGGCTTAGTGCTATAGTTATCCACACTTTCTAACTGATTCTCTTTTATACATGATTGAATCTGTCTGTTTTTATATACATATAGACGTTTGCCTTTGCCAGGGTATGTGTGTGGACAGCAGCTTTGTTGTTCCTTTTGGCCATTTTAGGAGCTTGCTCCATCATCAACAGGTTTACCCGCCTGGCTGGAGAGCTATTTGGGATGCTTATTGCCATGCTTTTCATGCAGCAAGCTATCAAAGTAAGAATAGCATGCCATTTCTTGTCCAGAATTAGACTCTCTTTGAAAGTGACTTGGCGAAAGTTCAACTGTTTTTTTTGGGTGCAAAATACAAAAAAATAATCTTCCATACATTTATATATCAGTAAACGCAGGCAGTTGAATGAAAATTTGAAAAAAAGCATTGCATTGAGCCTACCGATGGGTTGGAGCCATTTCCCCCCCTGTTTATGTCCCTTAATGTTTTCTTTCCTTAGTCTTTTATGGGTTCCAAACAGACCCTAAAATTGATTTTCCTAACCTAAGGGAATTGTAGAAGAGTTTCGCATTCCAAAACGAGAGAATGCGAATTCAATAGAGTTCACGCCTTCATGGAGGTTTGCCAATGGCATGTTTGCTTTGGTTTTGTCATTTGGTCTACTCATAACTGCATTAAGAAGCCGAAAAGCAAGGTCGTGGAGGTATGGAACTGGTGAGCACAAACAAATGTTAATCCAAAGGATTTTTCATTCACAAGATCGTACGCTGCTGTAATTCATTGATGTCTCATTCATTCATTCGTTCATCATACTACAGGTTGGCTTAGAAGCCTAATAGCAGACTATGGGGTACCAATTATGGTGCTAGTTTGGACAGGGGTGTCATACATACCATCACAAAGTGTCCCAAAAGGGATTCCAAGACGTCTCTTCAGCCCAAATCCATGGACGCCCGGTGCATATGAGAACTGGACTGTTATTAAGGCATATTTCTAGCTAGTTCACTTATAATCACCTTTGTTTCTTTAAACCATGGCATAGAGTACTTAAATTGTGTTATGCTGGTCCATGTGGCAGGAAATGCTGGATATGCCCATTCTCTACATATTTGGAGCTTTTATTCCTGCGACGATGATTGCAGTCCTCTACTACTTTGATCACAGCGTGGCATCCCAACTTGCTCAGCAGAAAGATTTCAATCTCAGAAAGCCAGCTTCTTTTCATTATGATTTGCTTCTTTTGGGGTTTCTGGTATGCACAAATAACAGCATGTCTTTGATAACTATGAATCTTCTGGTTCTTGATATGTTTCTCTTTATCTGTTTTGGTTAATGGCAGACCCTAATGTGTGGCCTTATTGGTATCCCTCCATCAAATGGTGTTATTCCACAGTCTCCAATGCACACTAAAAGTTTAGCTACTCTTAAACACCAAGTAATGACCTATTCCAGCATGATTTATTTAGACTATAGTCGAGTCATTATTTCTTTTTCTGCAACTCACCTGAAAAAGCACATTAATCTTCATTGAAAAGCTGCTTCGCAACCGACTTGTCGCAACAGCACGTGAAAGTTTGAAGAGCAACTCAAGCCTGTCACAGTTATATGGAAACATGCAAGAAGCTTATAGATGGATGCAAACGCCTCTTATCTACCAGCATTCATCACCAATAGTATGTTAAATACGGAGTATCTTATTACAGTGCTTTAAAGTGTAAACCAGCTTGTCAACTTACTGAAATCTAAGTCTTGAATCTTTTGTCACAGGGACTTAAAGAGATGAAAGAATCAACCATTCAATTGGCATCAAGCTCAGGCCACATTGATGCCCCGGTTGACGAGACGCATTTTGACATTGATAAGGAAATTGATGAACTGTTGCCCGTAGAGGTCAAAGAGCAGCGATTGAGCAACTTGCTTCAGGCAACAATGGTGGGCGGATGTGTTGCTGCGATGCCTGTATTGAGAATGATTCCAACCTCAGTGTTGTGGGGATATTTTGCTTATATGGCCATTGAAAGTTTACCCGGGAATCAATTTTGGGAGAGAATATTACTCCTCTTCACTGCACCAAGCAGAAGATACAAGTAATACATGTTCTTCCATAAAAAGATTTGTTTTTTAAAAATCGTGTTTCTTTTTTATTAAAAAAGAAACCAAACGTAAATAAAAGGTGATTTCTTTAAAGAGTACGAAACATAAAAGGTTGTTTGAGTGGTTGCAGAGTTCTGGAGGACTACCATGCGAGTTTTGTGGAGACGGTGCCTTTCAAGGCAATTGCGACATTTACATTATTTCAGACAGTGTATTTGCTGGCATGTTTTGGGATAACATGGGTTCCAATAGCCGGCCTCCTTTTTCCTTTGTTGATTATGCTTTTGGTTCCAATACGGCAATATGTGCTGCCCAAGTTCTTCAAAGGCTTACACCTTCAGGATTTGGATGCAGCAGACTACGAAGAGGCACCCGCTGTTCCATTCAGCCTTCCTACGGTAAATAAATCTGCCCCTTCCCCTCATAAGCACTAAGTGATGACTAATACTAACTTGGCATTGCTTTTGTCAAGAAACCCAACTCAACCAAAAATCCAAACTTGTGGTTACAGACCCAAGCAAAGGTTTTATACTCTTAACAATTATGAACATGTTTTGAATTGAAGGAGGATGAAGTTGGCGCGAGTGCTTCTACCATTGGTGGTGGTGGGAGTGGGGAGATTCTAGATGAGATCATGACAAGAAGCCGGGGTGAGATCAAGCACATCAGCAGTCCCAAGGTGACCAGTCTGACAGCAAGCCCAGCCCCACAAGATCTGAGCCCGCGGTTCGCAGGGAGAGCTTACAGCCCGCGAATTCGCAGGCTGAGAGGAGAGCGAAGCCCACTGTCTGGCATCAAAGGAGGAGGAGGAGGAGCTTTCAGCCCTGCTTCTACCTAAGATCCCACCAGACAAGAAAGACAGCTTCAAAATGAATCACTTGTTTCTATTTGCTGCAAACCTTTTTGCTCCTTTAACATTACCTTAGATCCATCCATAATGTATTGATGATGATGACTCAAATGGTAATAAAAAAAGAAGTATCTGTATGTAATCATTAATCCTCACTATGTATTGCTGTTGTTTACTATGATTATTAATGAATGTACAAAGTAGTGTTGGGATTCTAATAAACTGAAATAATGTACACACTACAAACAGAATATAGTACAGTACTTAAAAAGGCAAGTGAAAAGAGGGACAATTGGCTCCTCATGTCCCTTTGGTTCACTTTTTACTGCATCATAGAAGGTAAAATTAAAATAATCCATCCTAATAATAAGAACAAAATGAATAATAGATGATGAAGGTAAAAGGAAGATGATGATGAATGTGGTAGACAAGAAGCCAAATGGGAAGCATGGGGTCCATCCTATATTGGTTTTTTTTTGAAAAAAACACAATTATGGAGATAATTATTAAAAAAGTTGGTCGAAAATGATGGCTAAATTATCACTTGTTAGGTGGCTAATGCCTTTTTTATTGAGTGGGAAAGTATAGGCCTATCAAGTACTCATCCACCCAATGCTATTCTTATATTCCATATGGAGTTTAATAACAAGAATATTACTAGTACTTCTGACCTTTTGTTTTTTATTCTATCTAATAAGTCTTTTACTATAAAGTAATGACATCTACCTTCCACTTAGTGCTATTTATCACTACTCAGTAATCACCAAGTACTTCGGTAAAAAATACAAAGAATAAAACGGATTACTCTACTTTTTATGTGTTTGTTTATGTTTTAAATAGCAAAAATGCTTGGATACACTAAACTATACCTCAAGTTGTATACTATCTCTCTTTGCACCACACATTTCTTATTCAGGATTTAATTTTCGAATCATGGATAAAAAATTGCCGGGTGAAGAGAGCGACAATGTATAACTTGGAATACAATTTGGTAGACCGCAATCATTACTCTTTAAATTGCACTAGTGACATGTGCCTACTGCTTAAGTAGGCTAGGTAGAACAAGAAAACATAATACTCCCTCCGTCCCAGAAAGAATGTCACAGTTACTATTCCGGTCTCTCGATAACTTTTGTTTGTTTACTCGTTTTGGTTGACCATTTGATAAAATAATATATTCTTGTCGCATCTTGTTTTGTAGAACTTTTCATATACTTTAAAATGGTGTAATTTTTACTTTTTATTACTCTACCAATTTGAAATTAAAGTGATTTTAAAAGAGATGATATTTTGCACGTTGTTTGAAGTGTTACAAATAAATTGGAACGGAAGGAGTAACTTTAACATTTACTCCGGGGTACTATAAAAAGTATTTCTTTCTAATCATAATTTTCCTTTTTCTTCTCTCACGAGTACACTTGTAGAAACCAAAATAGGTATTACGAAGTAATTCATTACTCCCTCCCTTCCACAAAACCCTTCCGGTTTTGACTTTGGGGAAAAATAAGGAAAGTGAAATTTTGGTTGACTTTCCTCCAATTTTTCCCCTGACATGATGAGAAAAAGTAAGATGTGATAGTTTGGTTATTAGTGAAAAAGTATGATGTGATAGGTATGGTATGAAAAAGTAGGGGTAAAAGTGGTTTTTTAATGGAAAATGGAAGTGTTTTGTGGAAAGCAAAAAAATCGAAAGAGGAAGGGTTTTGTGGAACGGAGGGAGTATTTAAATACCCGAGTATATTAAATTAAAAATAACACCACTCAAACATCATAAATTGCATATCAAAAATCTAATGGGATAGGACTCAGGAGTACTATGTTTCAGGTTAAATTCTTGGGTGAACATAAGATTTCGATCCCGTCCCGGTTCATGAATGAAATAACTCATTCTGTCCCTAAAAGATTGTCATAATTTAGCTTTTTAGACAAACTATTGCACCCTTTGACCGTAGATTATGGAAAAAATATATTTAGTTGTAATATAAATTTAGTAAAATTAGATTTATTTTAAAATCTAAATTTTTATGTAATATTTAATTATTTTAAACTACTCCATATATTTAATTTGTGATTAAAGGGTGACTCAGTTTGATAAAAAAAAGTCAAATTATGACAATCTTGGACGGAGGGAGTAGTGGGTGCGCTTGGAACAGACAGCATAATGATCTCATCTTCCCCATCTATGTGACCCACAATTATGAAGGCTACACTACACGATCAGATTGGGCCGGTGGACAAATATGGTGGTGGAACAAGATAATCCACTTGCTGCTCTTTTCTTCTTCTTCACTCTGGATTTACTTGTTTTGGTTGAACGACAAATAAAGTTAGAACACCTTCTTTGGGCACTAGTCAAATAATTCATAGTCCTCTTTATGCATCTTTTGTAAACAGTTTGGCTATAAGCAAAACAAACTAGGCACTCTAAAGGGCAAATTTGGGCCTACACATTTATTTAGGCCACAATGCTAGACCTACATGCATATCCATTAGAGGAACCTCAAAAATCAACCATTTATGACAGACAAAAACTTAGGCTATAGTTTGTGCATGTATCTGTGAAGGCAGGAAGCAATGTTAGGGACACACTTCGCAGTAATTTAGATTTTTTTTCTTTATTCACGCTTAATGTCTATTTCCAATGGAGCTAAAGGAGTTGTAATTGACACACGCAAAACTTCTTTTGCTTCTTACTTTCACACTCACAATGAAAATGTACAAGCAAAATGCGTAACAAAAAGAGCGATGGAATTTCCTATCTAGCAAGTAAACACAACATTAACAACGTTTGGGAACCTTTCTTTGATTGCCGCTTTGATGCCGGACCCAATGGATTCTGGTCCCACATACTTCACGTGGCAATCCCCATTCCCCTCGACCGATACAACATCCACACTCCCTCCATAGTTCCTAATGGCAGGCCTTAAGATGTCAAGATGCGCATTCACCGCCTGCATATGCGAAGTCATCTCAACTTACTCATGATGATCCATTGAATAGTATGTAATAAAATGGTTTAAAAGAGAACATAAATGAAAACAAGCTCACCTCAACAGTAGTCTCAGTTATGTTTTCTAAATTCACTTGTTGGATGTCCTTGAGAGCATCTCCAAATTTTTCTTTCAGCACTCTTTCAATTCCCATTTTCATTGTGGTTGTTGAACTAGGACAACTCCCACATGTTCCTGGTTACACGTTGGCGTGGGTACATATGAAGCCAACACAAACAAATTAGACATTTAGGTAGTGTTTAGTAAGTTGTAATCCTATGAATGTGATCGATCAACCTGCAGCAAATGTTTGTAATACAAAATTGAATTTCCTGCATTGCATTACGGCTTACCAAGCATTGCCTTAGAGCATCTTAAACCCATTGCACCATGCTGTGGTGCCAAAATTGTGTAATTGTCACACCATCATTATGAACAAAAATTACTCCATTCTTTTATACCATTTTATGACAAAACCTGTCCCATTATAGTTTCTTCAATAATTTAAAACATAAAAAAGAAAATGGAATAATGCAATGAACAAATAGTGCATGTTCAGTTAGTATTCAGCAAAATGGCATCTTCTTTACTATTTTGAAACGGCTTTCAAGATGGTCTTTGCAATTTAACATAACATACATTCATGTTGGGAGTTTAGGGGCGCATTATGTAGGCGCTACTTACTTCTTGCATACTTGCCTTTCTCCATATATGTTCTGTTCTTTTGTAGCCTCTTTTTTTCATTCAAACAGTTTTGTTGCATACTCACACACACAAACTGTCACTTTCTAACTTTTATTTTCTAAATTTTTTATATTTTAAACTTCTTCCATTCCTTCCAATGTTTTCTTAGCTGGGGTCTTCATTGGAACAGCCTCTAAACAGACCTATTTCTGAGTGTGACTTCTCCGTGTTGTTTGGTTTGGTTTCAGGTTTGTTTTGCATCTGGCATGGGATTGATTATAAGATCAAATTTTGGACAATGTGGAGGTATGGAGAACAATGATAAGTCCAATGTGAGCACCATTCATTTACTCTGTGTGATCATGAATCGAATTGAAACAATTCTAGACAATTGAAAGTTTTTTTTTTGGGGTTTTGTAATTTACTAAAATACTCCTTGTTGAATTTAGGGTTTGATGATGAACATTTACACAGACTGGATCCCCCCAAAATTCATCACACCTTCCCCTTCTGGAATTGCAGTAATACAATTAATGCTAATACCTATTGCCAATTACTGTACACCCTAGTTAAACATAACAACACCAATAGGAATACAAACACAAGATATTGAACATAGAGATGATAAAGGCACCTTGAAGCTGGAGAGAAACAACGCCGTCCTCGACGGCCACTACATCGACGTTTCCTCCGTCTGCGATGAGGTAAGGGCGAACGTCGTCAAGAACCTTATCCACGTTTTCCGGAGTGAGCTCGAACTGCTGCGACGAGTACAGGCCCGGAGATCCGCCGGGAGTGGCTCTACGTTTGTGAGAAACGTCCAGTTTCTGGCGGCAAATGGATTGCGCAACTCTGAGGAAAGAGATTGAGGACGGGTCCAGGAGAGGGACGCTTCGCAATTCAGACCCGTAGTGTTTTCTGTTAAGAACACCGATTCCGGCCGGCCCGGTTGTTGCGAAGTACGACGCCATGCCTCTGCCGAACGCCGGCGACAAAGTTCTGGACAAACGTCCAATTTCATCCCTTCAATTTCACGAACGGGCCGGTCTTGGGCTGTTGGGGCTTAAAAATTCCCAACCACATAAGGCCCATATTATTTTAAAGAAGTTAAAATAACAAAAAGCCTGCACCCTGACCTAAATGGGCCAAATAGTTCTGAGAAGCCAGAACCGCCACAACAGAGCAAAAATAAAGAAAGGCGAAGCTGCGAAGGATCGGCATTCCCAAATCTCCTCCGATTCTCCAGGTGCGATTTCTTTGATTTATTCTCTCGTTTTGAATGAATTTGCTCATTTATGAACGATTATCCGATGAAGCTTCTTCTGTTCCGCGAATGTGAATTCGTCTCTTTTGTTCATTAACACAGAGCATATAAAAACAATTTTAGGTTCATTCAATCGACTTTTTCCCGTCCAATTTAACAAACTTCTACTGTTCTCCGTCCTCTCGCCTCCACTGCTATCTTCTTGGCCGCTCACCGCCCCATGTTCCACAACCCACATCTCATATCTTCGTCGCCCTTCAACTTTTGTCATCAGCTACATCTTTTCTCTTCGGTTTGCAGGTTTTTTTCTCTCGTTTCTTCGTACCTCCTCGTAGCTCTTCATATCATTCAATTCATCAATTATAATCTTCTTTACTTTTCAAAATTAGTCATACTAATTAGCTATTTGAAATTTTTCGGGTTAAAATTCGATCAGTTTCACAATTTGAGAGTTATACAATTCCGTCAGTTTCTAAATTGAGTCAATTTGTAAAACATTTACTTCAATTGACAGTATGAATTTAGGCTTAGCAAAAAAAACTGATTTTCGGACACTTTAATTCTTTGTGTTTCAATTACATTGTTCTTTACTGTATTTATGAAAATTTCGTTTTCTTTCAAAAAAATTATTTTAGTAAAAACATGTTCTCTGTTCGTATTTGATTGGTATATGTATCCTACCTCATGTCTTTGTTTTGGATTGTTGGTTGGTGTTTTGAATTTAGTTTTTGATGGTTCATATATAGGACTAGAAACTTAGAACAATTTTCTTAGTGCTTGACATTCTGATTTTAGTTCTTAATGCTAGATATAGGCGACTAAATACAGTTCATGTTCTTTGTTGATCTCTTCAAGTTCGTGCTCAACTTCCTTGGTATGTTTACACACTTTTAAGCTATGCTTCTTTTGATTTTTACAAAAAAAAGTGTTTGTATTCTTGAAATGTTTACTGTGGCATTTTCATCACTATGTGCTGCATTTTTAAAATAAAGAAATACTGTTCTTCATTCAATTCTAGCTTTAGAATTTTGTTGTAAGTCTGATTTAGATGTCTTTATCCTTTTCAGAGGCAATTTCTATTGTAGCTTATTCAAACAATAAATTCGTCTTCCCTATTTCTATTTGGTTATATGGAATTTACTACTTGGATGTATTGACATGCTTGGTATGTGCTCTCCTACGCTATTCAAAATTTAAAAAAACTACTTGGATGTATTGACATGTTGAATTCCCATGTTTTTTTTTGGTGCAATTGGCTGTGCAATAAGATTTAAGAATCCAATTGATTGGTATGCTTTGCTGGGTTTGCAATACGGATTTGAGAAATCGAATAAGATTGATACTCTTATTTCTTTTTACTGCATTCTTTTATGTTTGGTTTTGTTACAACTGAAGATAATACCCTAGGCTTGTTAGTTTTTTCGACGGTGTTTGATGATTGTGTGTGAAGTGGAAGGAAATACAGCTTTTGAGGGTGGATTATGATATTTGGGAGAAGTCGGGGTGCACTTTACCTTTTTTCTACTTTTTGAGGGTGCATTTTGCTTTTTACCCGAAATTAACACAACGATTTTTTTATTTTTTTTGATTTCTTAGCTCCTGTGATTGGCTTGTGTTTTTCATTTATTTTATCAAATGATAAGAAACATGTTTATTACAAACCATTAACAATGGTGTTTTTCATTTTAATTAAATAAATTCTAAATTAAATTCAAATGAAATTTAAATAATTTGAAGGGGCCCTCAAAGATTGCATACATCTTGACACTTAGCACTAAAGGATTTGGGATTCTACTAGGATGTTGTATGAAAAATTGAATGTTGCATATTGAAAAATTGAATGTTGCATATTTTAACAACAACCTAGTTGAATCCCACAAGAGTAGGGTTTGGGGAGGGTGTGTGTACGCAGACCTTACCCTTACTCGAAAGTAGAGAGGCTGTTAGAGACCCCCGGCTCAACGTCGAAAGTTGCATTGACTGACTAGCTGCTACTTCATTAATTAAAGAAGCGCAAACAGTTTAGAGATTCCATTACACGCCAAAGCCAGAAAATAGTGAAGTTTTGGCTCCATCGGAGATGATGGAATTAAAAACTATATTCATTAAAAGCTTCAAAATACGGGGAAATACATTTCACTCCTTTTTAAAATAAAAAGCCACATAGTCAACAACATTTGCATGTGCATCCCTCTTTGATGTGTTACTACACCAAATTGGTATGTTAAAGTTATGGATATATTATATATATAAATAGATTTTGACACTATATTTCACCATCATTCTATAGAATATTGATATGCATGTTATGGATAAAATTTTGCATGCATGGTCAACTACAGAGTGGAGTATTAATTTTTGCTCCACATTACTACTAGAATAAGTGGCATAACTGTGTAACAGTAGTGATTGAATTCAGTGAGGAAATTGGCCCCTATAAGTGCATTTTTACATGTTATGATATATTTTACAAAACCACATCATTCTCTGTGATGCAGGACACTTCCTTAACTTCTTGTCCTAAATAATTGAGCAGCCTCAATTGCAAATATGTTGAAGTTTGGGACCAACAGAGTTCTGGGGCTTGCGCCGGGAGGTGTTTTGGCGAGGGCCAAAACCTCGTTTCCACGGCTCTACCACGAGAGGGTGGTGGACCACTACAACAACCCCCGCAATGTAGGCTCCTTTGACAAGAATGACCCCGGCGTTGGCACCGGGCTGGTAGGCGCCCCTGCCTGCGGCGATGTGATGAAGCTTCAGATAAAGGTTGACAATGAGACTGGGAAGATCGTTGACGCGTGCTTTAAGACCTTTGGTTGTGGCTCCGCTATCGCCTCTTCTTCTGTTGGTACGTTTTCTTCGAGATTCTATAGTAAAAAAAATTACTATTTTTGAAAATTATTATTTTTGCTGCTGCATTTTAAGTCTGTCTAGTCTTGGAAGTTGGAATAAGTTTGGGTGTCTAGAGTGGTGGTATTTGTGTTTTCAGAACATCCTCTATTGCCCATCTTGGAGTGGAGAGATTTGCTGTGTAGTTAACTAAGCATTTCTCCATTTGTATTGTTTGGAAAGTTTGGGGGGGGACAGAGAACCTATATTGGAATATGCAATAATGAGGCTATGTTAGCCTTTTAGGAAAGATTTATATCTGTTGTGCTGCTACTTAGTATTATTGTCTTGTCGGTTCATACTTCACAGCCTTAACTAGATTGTTAATGCTCAGCTTCTAATTCTGATGTTAGAATTGTTATATTATGTAATATGGTTGGACTGAATGTTCGAGTATATAAAGTATTGATATTTGACAACTAGCGTAATTTGGGAAATTTAAATATAAAAAATATTGGATGAATCATGCCAAAGAAACCAAAAGTGGCATGTTGAAACTTGAAAGTTCATGATTAATGAGAAATGGATTAGGGAGTAAAAAAAGAATATAGATTCCAGAAATAAAATCTTCCTAGGAATTAGGGAAGTGTAAAAAAGATATTTTAGGATGAGGAATCAGAGTATTGAAACAAGCAATATTTCTCATACAATTCATCTAACACTTGATTTCATGATACAACCCTAATATTTATAATAATCATTAATGTGCGGCATATGATTTGTTGGGTTCATCAAAAAAGATGAGGGGATGGATACTTGTGAAAGAAATGAGGCATTATTTGATTCAGTAACCTTCTTCAATGATTCACTGTTTTTTCTATAGCTTGTGATCATTATAATTCTTGGGTCCAGTGGGGTGTTTAGCAGACGGGGATGCTAGTGACCTCAGTATCTTATAGGTTTGGCTGTTTGAGACAGTGAATGTGTTAAAGGACAGTGAGGATTCAGAGTGCAAGACTTAGGGTTGGACTTTGCTTTGGCTTCCCTATGCTTGCTATTTGGATTTGGAAACAGTAGGTTCGTTGCGGCAGTAGAGGTTAGAAGATGCAAAGGAAGATGATGTATCAGGAGTTATAATGAATCTTCTCACTCTACTTCTTTTTTGCTTACTAATATGTGTGTTGGTTTGCCAAATGCATGCTGCTATATGGCTTGTTTTGAACTGTTTGTTGGTTAATTTGCTGCAGAAATTTCCATGAGCACATTTTCGTGTGCGGATATTTCTAAGTTGAACTCACAATTCTACTCTGAATTGTACTGAGGCTCGTCTAAATAAGCCATAATACTACTCCATCCGTCCCAAAATGAAGTTTAACTTTCCTTTTTTGGAGGTCCAAAAATAAAATTTACACTTTTTCACTTTATCTGTTAGGAAAAATATGTGGTTATAATTTTTCTCTTCTAGATAAATTTTACCACACCTTTTACTTTTCTTAAATTCTGCGAAGTCAAAGTGTAGTATCCATTTGGGACGGAGGGAGTATTTTTACAAAAAATACCATGTGTGGGCCACGCCCAAGGCATCATTATTTCTTTTTTCTGCAAACACTTTTGAGTTTTGACCTTGCTGTTTTGTTTCATTCAGCAACGGAGTGGGTAAAGGGGAAGCAGATGGAGGAAGTGCTATCCATCAAGAACACGTATGTTTCTTACTCTCTATTCTTGAATGACCTTAATGTTCATCTTGATATTGTATGCTGGAGCCATTAGCTCTCTAATTAGTGCTGTAGTTGTGTTTCACTTTGGTATCTGTGACTTATCAATTATCATTCATGCCTTTGTTCTACCTCAGGTTTCAAGTGTATAATTGTGTATCTTTCAAACTGTTGGGAGAGCAGTGTTTTTTTTGCTTCCAGCTTGAAAAACCTCTGCGCACAATGTGGAGTAATACACCATAT